ATATTTTTACCTTTAAGTATAATAATCGATGCAAGTACTAATAACAGAATGAATGATATATACCAATATGTAAATATTAAATCAACTAAAATCATTATATCGTTGACTATTATTATAAGCGCATAACAAGTTACGTAGGTTTGTTGACAACGCTTTGCAAGCACTTGAAATATTCCAACTTTAACAAGCATGTAAGGTGTTGAACAATTGAATAGGATTTTAGCAATAAATGGAATTAATTTAATAAATAAATAAGCGAAAAGAATGATTTTAATAAATACTAACATTAAATGAAATATATCTTTTAGATTTTGTTTTAACTGTTGTTGTGGTGGAGCAGGCTGTTCTTGTTCTAGCACTAGTTGTCGTAAATGTTCTGCAGTTGTTGTTGATAGTTGTAGCTCATTCTGAGAATTATCAAAAGTATCTTGAGCATTTTCAAATGAATCCAGCTCGCTTGATAATGACTGATTCTCGCTGTCGATACCATCAATACATGAATGCCGATTATAGTTATGACGCTCAATTATTTTTTCACATTTATTACATCGAACCTTTGAAAAGAAACAGATGGATAACCATAAGTAAAAGCCATCGTCTAACTCTCAAAAAGTACTGTATTCAAGTTCCCAGTCAGTTAACGAGACCAAATTAACTGATAGGCGAAAACAAGTCTTCAGAGAAAGAAGGGAAGACTTTTAACTTTGAGGTTGGAGCATGGCAGACAGACGTCGGATCGAAGTTAGCAAGTCAGCTTCTTCCATCTTGCGAAAAAAAATCTTCAAAAATGGATAGAAAGAAAGAAAGAGATTTTTTAAACAAAATTCATAGTGTGGGGAGAGAAAGTCGTCGATTGTGATACAAGAATTACTAATGTCAAAGAAAACATGTGCTTTTGGAAAACGGAATGAACTTTTTGCAGCAGAATTTGAAGATTTTAGAGAAAAACAGTTTGCGTGACTGAGTTTCTATAAGGAGCGGTCCTGTCACGGTTGCATGCATCTATGTTTTCGTAGAGCAGGACAAAATGCAAAGAAGGGTGTTTACGAATAACTAGAGGAATTCTCAGCATTTCCTAATGTGAAATTTTGAATAAAAATAATTATAAATTCACCATTTTTTCCTTCTGATTTCCGTTTATGTGCGTTTATACTTATAGACCAAAAACACAACTATATGTTTATGTTGCTGATTTATTCATGAATAAATGTTAATATTTTGTCCCCGATAATCCTTTCCCAAGATAAGAAAGTGACTATTTCCGAGAGAACAACAGTCATAACGGGAATAAAACAACTTTTTTTATTTTGATTCATCAAGTCTAATTGTACAGTTGATTGTGTGTGAGTTCACAATAATAACCAAGTCTACTCTGTAGAAAAACGTTTTTATGCACAACTATTTATTCGTACCAAACTACTTTTTAGTTTCATACAGTATGTACAATTCCCTCAAATGGTTTTATAGGATGAAAAATTTGAAATCTTCTTCGAAGGCTACAGCGCGAAATCATTTAAACATGTTGTATACGAAACCGTCTTGATCCACTCGATTTGCTGTAGAATTTATCAGTCATCCAAAATCGATAGAAAAAATAACAATTTTTCGAGATGAGGAGTAGAAGTGAAGTGAGAGGAGTGGAGAGCT